CGGTCGCGTGGATGACATTGATCGGCATTGGATCTGCACATGCAGTAGAGCGGCGGCTCATGTTGAGCAGGCTGGCGACACCTTGGCCCTCTCTATTTTTCTCGCTGGCTCCCTGTATGGCTTTATCAACGAGCCTACGTACAATACATCTTCACAGGACACCGGGTCCACTGATTCAATTTCTCACTACCTTAGGTTAGTCATATGGTCTCGCACTTCCCTCCCTAAAAATCCCACTTTGCTCGCCCCGCTAGCTTCTGACATGATGGATGGCGTGTTAAGTTTATTCTCCCGGTGCAACACACAAGCGTACTTACTAGTTGAACTCCTATATGACACTCTCTGCGTCAACGAGCCTACGTACAATACATCTTCACAGGACACCGGGTCCACTGATTCAATTTCTCACTACCTTAGGTTAGTCATATGGTCTCGCGCTTCCCTCCCTAAAAATCTCACTTTGCTCGACCCGCTAGCTTCTGACATGATGGATGACGTGTTAAGTTTATTCCCCCGGTGCAGCACACGAGCGTACTTACTAGTTGAACTCCTATATGACACTCTCTGCGTCAGGGAGTCAACCTTTCGCACAGGGTGCAGCTCACCTGGGTTGGCCCATTATGCAGTTGCAGTTTGCAAGGTGAGAAAACATCCAAAATTAGCCAGCGAGAACTCGGATTCGAACATGAGACTATGTTGTGGTGCGCAGGTTGTGCTAGCCGCTTGGAATGACAAGCTCCTATGCAAGATATGCAACATGGTTGTTAAAGATATTTTTGGAATTTGCGAACAAAGTTTGTGAACATGATCAATTTTTAGAATACGTGAACAAATTTCGAAAAGCTGGAGCATGTTTCACATTCCTGAATAATTTTTGAAGTTGTGAACAAAATTTGAAATTGCAAACATTTTTGCAAATTATGAACAATTTTTTTCAAAACACAAACACTTTTTGAAGTCACGAATAATTTGTTCAAAATGCATTTTTTTTCCAAAATTAAAAAAATATGAACAAATTTCAATCACAGAATATTTTTCAAATTCCTCGAACATATTTTGAGTTCGCGAAGAAATTGTCAAAAAGATGATTCTTTTTTTTCAAATTTGTGAACACATTTTGAAAGTAAGAACAATTTTGAAATTCCCAATAATTTTCTGAATTTGTAGACAAAAACATAAAATGCGAACCTTTTGAAAATCTGAAATTAAATATTTCCTGGAATTTCAAACATTTCTTCTAAAATAAGCTCACAAATTTCAAAGTCTAAACTTTTTGGAATTTCTAAACAAAATTTCAAACCAGGAATTTTTTGAAAAACATGAACCAAATTAAAAATACAAACATTTTTAAATTCCTGAACATTTAGATGGAAAGGAAAAAACTTGAAAAAAAAATAGGAAATAAAAGAAAAGGGGAAAGGGAAAAAATGAAAAGGAAAGTAAAATAAAAAGGAAAAGACAAAAGGAGAAAGAAGGAAAAAGGAATAGGAAATAAGAAAGGAAAACAAAAAATAAACAGAAAATAAGAAAAATGGTTCATGAACCTTCTAGAAGTTTCCCAAAACTGAAAAAACCGGCTGGAAGCCATCCAAAATGTTCCCAAAAACGGGATGGGTGGATGCGCGTCTTGCTGCTAAATGAGCCAGCCCATGTTTCAGTTCCTTGTCCGATTCCACGTAAAGGAATGGAGAGTGTACCTTGACCCTGCTCCTCCAGTCCGGGTGGCATCCGGTCGGGCATGGCAGCCTCCCCCTCCAGAACTAGTAAAGATTAACATCGATGGTGCATACAATGTAGAATCGGGGAAGGGAGGATGGGGGCTTGTCTGTCGCGACTCCCACAATGAGATTCTATTTGCCGCGGCGGGTTCCTTTGGATTTCTTTCGGACGCATTGCATGCTGAATCTTTGGCCCTGGTGCATGCTATCAACACCACTGATCATCTGGGAGTGGGCAAAGTTCAGTTCGAAACGGATTGCTCAGTACTCCAACGTGCTGTAAGTACTGGGGACTTTGATCTAACACCGTTGGGACAAGTATTCAGAGATCTAAATGCCAAGCTCCTAACTCAGTTCATCCAGGCTAGTGTAGTACATACACCACATGAATGTAACAAACCAGCGCATGTGCTAGCTTCGTTCAGTACGGGTCTAGCTACTGGGACTAGTGACTAGTGGTTTGAGAACTATCCCGATTTTGTAACCTGTCCTATAACCGGCGACCTCGCCGTGCTATAAATGGAATACGAGTGTCCCATCTCAAAAAAAAGCCGGCCCGTGTTGATCAAATATGTGCGGTTTGTCGACAATTTGACGCAGAATGCGTCAAATAGGAGATCCAATTGAAGTCCCACGTGCAAAATGGTACAGGGCGCACACACCCTGTTGCCATCCAAGTGCGTTGTGGCCCAATATCTGTCCTCCCGCCGGTTTTTTGGGCTGGGTTATCTATGGTTTATTTTTCACCACTTTTTCTGTTCGGCTTTGATTGGTTTTCGTGTTTTTTTCTTTTTTCCCATTGCTTTTTCGTTTTACTTTTTATTTTGTTTTGTTTTTATTTTTCCTTCTATTTTTTTCTTGTTAGGTTTTTCTTTCTATTTTCTCTTTTTTTATTAATTTTCAAATAATGAATTGTTTTCATTTCCGTGAACCTTTGGAGATTAGTGAACTTGTCTTCAAATTCGCTAACATATTTAAATTTTGTGAACATTTTATAAAACTGGCAAATGTTCTAAATCTGCAAAAAAATCAAATCTTCGAGTTTTTAAAAAATTTGTGAACATTTTAAAATTCTGAGAACTATTTTTCATATCTTCGATTTTTTTTCAGAACTATTATTTTCCAAAATTCTTCCAAAAATTGAAGTTTAAATGCAACTTAACTAAACGCTTTCCTTTGTCCACCAATCCAAAAGAAGTACAATCTCACTCATTGAAATGGGAAAAGAAACTCCGAGCTTAGACTAAACTGACAAATTTTTTTGGTAAATTAGTTCGATGCTCTGCTTGTGGAGCGACATTATTGGAGTACTGAAGAAAAATCTATTTTAGTTTTGGTACAAACCAACTGATGCCAGCAAGTGTAAAATTTGTTCTTACTATATTCTGCACAATCTACCAGAAAAAAAGTCCA